AAATTCCAATTAATAAATGTACAATAATCGAGGTTAATAGAAAATCACCATTAAACACACACACACACACACACACACACCCCACAATTGCCACAGGTAGAATGCATTGATGGATACCAAAATTCATGGATTAAGGTTTGATGAAAAATGGAATATTATCTAAGTCTCAAAGTATCTTTTTACAAGATATTTATTCACTACCATGGGGAAAATATTAACTTTCCAATTGAGTGACCTGGCCGATAGCACCTTAACCAAATAACTATTAACATTGCAAATAATAAGGCATAGCAACATCATGTAGCCCTTGAGATGAGGCACTGGGAAGGACATAACATCACTTCTGTGGTGCTTTTACCAAAAAGGATAATCTCAATCTAATCACGAGAGAGAGAAAAATACCAGATAAGCTCAAATTGAGAGAGTCTACAGATAATTGACTAATAGTCATCAAAAATGTTAAGGGCATAAAAGATATAAAAAGACCGAACTGTCACAGATTGGAGGAGACTAAGGCATGTGACCACTAAATGTGGCATCCTGGACCAGAAAAAGAGCCAACCAAGATCTGTAGTTGGTTAATAATAGTGTATCAATGTGAGTTTCCTGGTTTTGATCATTGCACTGTGGTTGTAAAATGTTAGCATTGGAGAAAGAATGTGTAGGAAATCTTGGACTATTTTCCCAACATTTCCATAATTCTAAAATTATTTCACAGTACAAAGTAAGTCAAATAGGAGCATCCCAGCACTTCGTAACTCATAGCTTTTGTCTTACTCAGTGCAGAGGTTCTACTGAGTCTATGCCTGAGTGGTTCCTCCATCATTTCTCCTCCTTCAAGGGCAACTAAACAGCACTGATTTCCAGCATCTAAAATAATTCTTCATACGTTCTGTCTAGTTCATTTTTCACTTGTTTCAATCAGGAGAGTCAATACATCTAGGCTGGACATTATCATGAGGATATCTTAATTCCATCTTTACAAACACAAACTGATAAATCAGAATTGTCATAATTACCAGAAGAATTTTTGCTGGGAGAAGCCTTTCTGACATTAACCGAACTAAGCCAAATTTATTCCTGAATCCTTTTTGTTTTCAATAGAGTTCAGCAGTTTTATTTTTCATTTTTTCTTTTTATTTTATTGGAATTACTTTTATGTTTTTTATTTTTTATTTTTAAATAAAAAACTGTAGAGTTGATGTACAATATTCGTTTCAGGCGTAAAAACCGTAATTAGACATTTATGTAGCCTATGATATGATCACCCCAATAAACCCAGCATCCGTCTGACACCATTCATAATCATTACAATATTATTGACCATATTCCCTATGCAGCACTCTACACCCCCATGACCGTTCTTCAACCACCAATTTGCACTTCTGAATCTCTTCACCTCTTTCACCCATGCCCCCAACCCCTCTTGCATCTGACAACCAGAAAAATGCTCCCCCACATCTATGAGTCTGCCTCTGTTCTGCTTGTTTGTCTATTTTGTTTTCTAGATTCCACATATTAGTGAACTCATCTGGCATACACCCTCTAGGCCCATCCTTGTGGCAAGATTTCATTCTTTCTATGGCAGAACCATATTCCATTGTATATATGCACCAGTTCTCCTTTATCCATTCATCTATGAATAGACACTTAGATTGCTTCCACATCTTGGCTATTGTAAATAACGCTGCAATAAACATATGGATGTATATGTCTCTTCAATTTAGTGTTTCGGGTTTCTACGGATAAATAGCCAGAAATGGAGTTGCTGGAGTTCCTTCTTTGTCTCTTGTTATAGCCTTTATTTTAAAATATATTTTGTCTGGTATATGTATTGATACCCCAGATTTTTTGTTTTGTTTTGTTCTCATTTTCATGAAATATCTTTTTCCATCTTTTTACTTCAGTCTGTGTATGTCTTTTAATCTAAAGTGGGTCTCTTGTAAACAGCATATGTAAAGGTCTTGTGTAATCCATTTAGTCACCGTGTATGAAATTAAATAGATTCGCTTGCCTTGATTCTTTAATAAATTTGCCTGCTTTAATTGATTTAATAAATGTGCTTTATGACAACACAATCAGGCTCTCTCATTTAAATTCATTTATTCAAGAAGACAAGAACCGGGAAGGGGATAGCCCTCTCCCTCCAACTCAGGAGGCTGTCTGATAACACCTTTTCTGGGATCTCTGGGTTGCCTGTAACAAAACCATCCTATGTGGTTACTTTAGGTCTCTGAGTTTGTAAGGCTGCCATGCAGGCCTCCCCTGAGCTTGTCAGGTTCAGTATGTGGCCACACTATCTTGCACCCAAGTTACTGCTGTTGTTCCAGAACTTCAGGAGTGGGGCCGGCAGGAGAAGAGAGTACAAGGAGGTGATCACTCTCTCTTAAATGTCCCATTCTGGACCCCAGTGGCTAAACGACCACTGAGAACTCAGCAACCTTCCCCTTGAGCCCCCCTTGCTTTCTGCCTGCTCCTTCCCGCCCCACAAACCTTCTTCAGCTGCAGCCTTTCACCAGCCATTTCTACAAGGAAAAGAAATCACATTGTATATCCACTATCCGGAACCTCCGCTCTTTTGACCCCTTTGTTGATGCAAGTAAAGGTGATGACCCGCTTCCAGCTGGCACTGAGGATTATATCCATATGAGAATTCAACAGAGAAATGGCAGGAAGATCCTTACTACTGTCCACGGGCTCGCTGATGATTACAATAAAAAGAAACTGGTGGAGGTGTTAAAGAAGAAATTTGCCTGCAATGGTACTGCAATTGAGTATACAAAATATGGAAAAGTAACTCAGCTACAGGGTGACCAGCATAAGAACATATGCCAGTTCCTTGTAGAGACTGGACTGGCTAAGGACACCTGCTGAAGGTTCATGGGTTTTAGGTGCTTTTGGCTCACTGAAACTTAAGTGAGAATTTCCTTGCAATGAGCAGAATTTCCCTTCTGTCCCTTGTCAAAAGTTTAAAAACCTCACAGCTTGTATAATGTAACCATTTGGGGTCTGCCTTTAACTTGGACTAGTGTAACTCTTTCACACTGTAAACTTAAAAAATCCATAAAAATAATTAGGTAGTTAGATAGACAGATGATAGAGATAAATAGATGATAGATGATAGATAGATAGATAGATAGATAGATAGATGATAGATAGATGATAGANNTAGATAGATAGATAGATAGATAGATAGATAGATAGATGATAGATAGATAGATAGATAGATAGATAGATAGATAGATAGATAGATAGATAGATGATAGATAGATATCCTAGTCTGGAAATGACATGGTCCATTCAGTCTCAGCCCATCCATTCATTAGGCATGGTTCTAGCCCATCATTCAGAATGAATCATATAAACACAACCTGAATTTGGTTCAGTTCCCCTAGAAACAGACCCTGAGACAAGGATTTCAATGAAGCAGTATTGTCCTCAGACAACACCAGGAAAGAAGTGGAAAAGGAACACAGGAAAGGGAAGGGCACCGTAAGAAAGCATTGGCATTACCCAGCAGATGACTGCTGAAGGCAGCTGGGCTCGGTCCACTGCTGACCTCTAAATGATCACGTGGAACATGCCTCAGAGTTTTCTAGATCAAGAACAGAGTGTTGGGTTATTGTCCCCTAACTCACATCTGTCCCTGAGATGTATCCCACTCAGCACAACAATAATAAATACAGCACAATATGGTGGGCAGAATAATGTCCCCTAAAGATGCCCATGTCCTAATCCCCAGAACATGAGGATGTGCTGTGCTACATGGAAAAGTGAGACTGAAGGTTGCAAATAGAAATAGGGTTCCTAATCCACTGACCTTAAAATAGTAAGGTCATATGAAATGATCTGGTGGTGCCAATGTAATTTCAAGGGTCTTTTGAATGTGGAAGAGGAGGCAGAAGGGTCAGAGTTTGAGCTGTGCAAAGTGTCATTGTTGGCTTTGAAGGTGGAGGAAGAGGCCACCAGCTGATTAGTGCAGGCAGCCTCTAGAAGCTGGAAAACAAAAACAAAAACAGATTGTCCCCTAGAACCTCCAGAAAGGAACACACCCTGCCAAACCAATAATTTGGTTGTATATTCTCAACCAAATTACAAACTGATTCAGACTGTATCTGGGAAATAAAATGCACAGTAGCAGAAAGAAGCATGAGAGAAGACTATCATAGTGTATACTGACTATTTTATAGAACTATAGTCATTGAAACAGTGGCAAAGGAATACACAATAAGTTCAATGGCCAGCATAATGCAGTGTGTAACTTTATTGAGGGATGTCACGGTGGCTGAGCTCAGCCAGATGAGACCCATTTGGGGCCTGATTTCCAGAACTATAAGATAATACATTTGAATTGTTTTAAGTCAGTAAGTTTGTGGTAATTTGTTACAGCATCAATCAAAAACGAATACACATACCTGAAATAATAGGGGTTTTTTCAAAATGTGTATGAAGAAAATCATAAAACTTCGCTGAAGGATATTTTAAAGGTACCTGAATAAATAACTGGTTCATGAGTGAGTAAGTAGACAAATAGACATATATATATATACACAAGTATATTCTCAACCAAATTACAAACTGATTCAGACTGTATCTGGGAAATAAAATGCACAGTAGTAGAAAGAAGCATGAGAGAAGACAATATCATAGTGTATATTGACTATTTTATAGAACTATAGTCATTGAAACAGTGGCAAAGGAATACACAATAAGTTCAATGGCCAGCATAATGCAGTGTGTAACTTTATTGAGGGATGTCACGGTGGCTGAGTGGGGGCACTGAGACTATCAAAAGAAGAAGAGAGATGGGCTATAGCCTATGGTTGGGCCTTAGAGGAGAAGAGGGTGTCTCAGAATCTCAGGATCTCAAAGACTTCAGTTCAGGAGGAATAAGAACAGAAGTGGGTGGGGCCAGAGAGGAGCTAGCAGAGGGCACACCCAAATTCCCTGATCTCTGGAGACCAAATAGGGGGCGGGGGTGAAGGTGGGGACAGTGGCCCTCAGAGGCCTGGGCACACAGCTGAGGGCTTCTCACAGATCCAGAAGTATTCTGCACTACATTTGCTATCATTCCAGCCTTCACCATCCAATTCCACACAGTCCTCATCTTCGTGATTGTTAGGTTCCCCTTCTTTCCAGAAGCTGTGAACACCATCAGAACTATGAGTTGCCTCCCAGACCCAGAGCCAACCCCCAAACCCACTCTGGACAGCTGGTCCATGGCCTTTGGCAGCAAATTTCCAAGAACCAGCCAGAGGGTAGTAAATTCAGAGACAGGGTTTCAGAATGTGGATTCAAACTCCACCTCCCTCAATCAAAGTAAAAATACAGATTCCTGGGCCCATACATAGACTTAGAGAATCAAATCCCCCACCCCACCACAGTGGACTCGGGACTCTGCAACTCGATCCACTTTCTCAGGTGATACTTTCCAATCCCAGAGTCTGAGCAACCCTGGTTTTAGGTGCAAGTCTTCCCTACCCTTCCCCTTCTAGGCCTTTGTCCCTGGAAGGTCACCTGAGATGGATGGGGGTATTGTCCACCCAATGCCAGGAACCTTCATTGTGTTGGTCACTGAGGCCGATCCAGGTGCGTTTATTAATTCTGGCATTCCAAGATTTCAGGAATTTCTGGGGGTGGGGGAGGGGGAGAGCATCAGGAGGAAGATTGGTGAAGGCCACCCATCCCATGTCTGCCCACATATCCACGGTCCCCTGGCTCCTATGGAAGTCTTGGTGGTCTAGCCTATATCCCCTACTTAAGTTGTGTTCTCATGTGCATAAATGCTGTGGATGTGTGGAAATGTGTTACCTTATGCCTCAATTCACTTATGTGTCAAAGGAGTGATTACTCTGAGTTTCCTTTCTTTCCATACATGGGCTCCTCTCACATGACCTTCCCAAGGCTGTCATGGTTCCTCCTCCAGGAAGCCTTCCCTGACGGCATCTCCCCCAAACCTCTATCTCTCAAAGGGCAGAAGAGGGTGGCAGAAGGCTTTTTGTTGACCAGCCCCAGATGGGAACCCTGCCCAGCATACCTGCTCCTCAGCATTGTTAATGACCACCAGCTGGGCCCTCATGTCCTCACAGGCAGAGACAGAAGCTTTCCAGGTGGCCTGAATCTGGGAGAACATATAGCAGCTTCCCTGGAAGAAGTCCCAATTCCAGGGACAGGGACGGCACAGGCCAGCTGGGGAGCAGGGGCAGGGTTTGGGTTGGCCAGCTGGGAAGACAGGCCGCTAGGCTCCCAGGCCCCCAACACCAGCATCAAATCTGGGGAACCCAGGGCTGGGCGCCTTTGTTCGGCTGTGAGCTCAGTCTCCAAGAAACCCATGAGAAAGATCCCATCTCTGCCCTGCCATTTTCAGACTAGCAGCCATGGAAGGTGAGCCTCAGCCCCACCTGTGACCCCACAACTCCCTCCTGACCTTGATGTCTGAACCTTACCCAGGGTGGCGTTCATCGTGGTCAACTGCTGGAGGATCTCCTCCAAGTCTGACTGCATCAGCTCCTGCAAAACAACCACTGGAAGAAGAGGACTTCAGTTATTTAGCACCTACTGTGTGCTTGGTGCAGAGAAGGTCCCATGATTTCTGAATCTCACGGTGACTGCAGCAGCCCATAATACAAATGAGAAAACTGAGCCTTAGGCAGTGACTTGCCAGGCATTGCTGGCTCCCAGGACCTCACACAGGTATCCAATCCCCTCCCCCATTCCTGCCTCCTTCCACCCCACAGCAGTGGCTCATTCAAGGTCACCGGCTCAGAGCCCTCTCCCATTCCAGAACCCAGTTTCCAACCCCTCACCCGGACTGTGGCTCCCTTGATTGTCCATCTCTCTTGGCAGGGATTGTTGGATCCTGGAGACTACAACAGAGCAGAGAATTCCGCCTTTATAAGTGCCGATTGTATGCCTGATCCTGTGCCACGTTTGGTTCCAAGGTCTCTGAGAACCTACCCACTCCCCACATACACACACAATTCCACCTAGAAAAAGATGAGCTGCATTTCACAGATGAGAAAACAGGCTCAGAGAGAGGTAATAACCAGCCCACAGTCACACAGGAGATGATAAAGAGTCCAAATATCCCAGCCCTAGTGATTTTGAGGACTGTGGAAAAGGGCAAAGACCATCCCAGAGGGAAAACCCCAAGGGACTCAGGACTCTCAGTCCCCAGCCCCTGACTCACCTTTAACCAAGGTGATTAGCATGAGCATGAAGATACCCAACGAGACGAGGAGCAGCATCAGAGACAAAGGAGCCCGGGTCAGACACCCTACAAAATGCACAGAGCTGGGGGCTAGGGACAGACCCTGCCCCAACCCACCCATGCTGGAGGGAGCCTCCCAGCTGCCCCCTTCCCCAGGTGCCTGCTCCTGAACCACCCACCCCAGTACCTGGCAAGCTTCTTAAGCTCCTGGACAGCCTAGGGTCTTTCTCAGCTGATCTCTGGCCTTGAAATATCTCCCTCTCCTCTGAACAGGACAGAATGCACTCATCTGAGCTTCAAATCCTGCTGAGCCCTGCTAGAGACCAGACCCTCTTCCCTCCTTGCCATCTGTAGGCCAGACCTGGACTCTCGCAGGACCCTGGAGCTCTGCCCTCCCCACCATCACCCCAGAATGGGGGCTTAGCCTCATCATGGCCACCTGGTTCCTTGGGTACACACATCTCTGCCATCCTCTTCTCCTCTCTGTTCTTCTGTCCAACTCTTCCCTGGACAATGGCTTTTATAACCTCATGTATTGCCCTTGGAAGCCCCTCCTCAAGGATATTCCTCCCTAATTTAGAAAGTAGAATGAGGAACTATGTGGGAACACCACTTCCTCTCGGAAAAGTTGGGGGTAGAGATGAAATGCCTGACACAGCTACGGGAGAAGCCATTTAGGGTGGGGGCAGAAGCTTCGAAGTCAATGCTAGTGCCAGTAAGCACTGTTCCCACCCCTACCCCCTACCCTGCCTGGGAACTTCGTCCCCCACCTTATCAGAGCCTCAATTTCCTCAGCTATAAAATGGGACAACTGCTCTGCCTCTTACTGCTATTGTGAGGTCTAATACAATGCAATATTTATAATAATGGTTATAGATTTCCTATCTCAATGATAAATACTCAGTAGAAATGGCCCTTAGCACACGGCCCACCCACCCCCAGCACCCTGTGCTGTGTGTTCTACGTCACTGAAACAAATAAGAAATCACAGGTGTGCTCCTGGTGGTCTTTGGCTGAGGAGCACTGACAGTTCTCACAATAGCCCTATGAAAAAGGTATAGTTATTATCCTGCTCTACAAATGAGGAACCAGGAACAGAGAGGGCAAGCAACTGGCTGAGGTCACACAGCTTGTAAGTGATGGGGCTGGGAGTTAGACCCAGGCAGGTAGACCTCTGAGTCCCTCCTTAACCACTGTACTAAGCAGTTACCCTTTCCCCCTTTGTAATTACTATTTTGTAGAGAGTCACTTGGAAACTATGTGTATTTAGCTTTGAATTTATTTATGTATGAACTCCTGGTTTCCTATATGATTCAGTCAGTTTTATGTTACTTACTATCTTTAATTTTAATCTAAAGTGAATCCCTTTGTTCAACGGTGGGGCAAAGGTGTAATGACTACCATAAGGAGAAGTTATCTTCAGACTGAAGAACAAAGCAGGCAACTCCATAGAATATAACAATTTATTGTAGGGTTATTTACTTATGGGAAGATTGGGCTGGAGCAGAACAGACAACCCCTCAGTCTGTGCAAATTATTCTTTACTACCAGACCCCTGTTACAGTGCTTTTTTATATTATAACTCAGGTACTAATGATTGACAAGACAAAGGGACAAAAATGCAGTAGTACCAGGGGCCGTAGCTCCTGATGGTCTTGTGATAGGTAATTGCTTAAATCAGTACTATCACCAGTTTGATATTTATCTCAACTGTCATGCCATTGTGACCCTGACTAACAAAATTTTATGGCTACATTTTTAAGGAACACAGATAATCATCAACTAGAAGGCTTTGATATGCTCGCTAAGGACAGTGAGGTTGGTCACAGCATGAAACTTAAAAATGAAGTGAAATCTGGATGCAGAGATGGAGTTGGTTTTGTTCACATCTACATCTATATACTCTATAAACAGCATATAATTAAATGATTTTTATCCATTCTGTCAATCTCTACCTTCGAATTGGAGATTTTAACCCATTTATATTTAAAGTAATTACTGACAAAGAAAGGTTTATATCCGCCATTTTGCTATTTGGTTTTTATATGCCCTATGTCTTTTTCTTTCGTAGTTCCTCCATTACTATCTTCTTTTGTATTAAATAGATATTTTCTAGCATGTCATTTAAATGTTCTTGTTTCTTTTACTCTATATTTTTTAATTATTTCTTAGTGTTTGTCCTGGAGATTACCATTAACATCTTAATTTATAGCAATCTAGTTCATGTTAATAACAACTTACTCTTGCCCGGCCGGGCGTGGCTCAGCGGTTAAGCGTCGACCTAGGATCCAGGCGATCAGGGTTCAGTTTCCGGTCAGGGCACATGCCCGGGTTGTGGGCTGCAGCCGATCAATGACTCTCTCATCATTGATGTTTCTGGCTCTCTCTCTCCCTCTCCTTTCCTCTCTCTGAAATCAATAAAGATATATTTAAAATAAATAAATAAATAAAAAATAACAACTTACTCTTAATAGTATGCAAAACTTTGTTCCTATATAGTTCCATTTCCCTCCCCCCCCCCTTTATGCTGCTATTACCACAAATTGCATCTCCATACATGTGTGCTCATCAGCTTTGATTTCTAACTATTGCATTACACAATTGTCTGTTAAATCATATGGGGGAGTAAGAAGTAACAAACAAAAATGCATTTATACTATCTTTTCTATTTTCCTATGTAGTTACCTTTATTGATGCTTTATATTTCTCATGTAGATTCACATTATTGTCTAGATTCACATTTCATCCTGACTCTATTCATTTCTTTTATTGTGGTAAAACATAACATAAAATTCACCATTTAAACCATACAATTCAGTAGCTTTTAGTACATGATGAGGTTGTGCAACCTCATCACTATCTAGTTCCAGAGCATTTTCATCACTCCAAAAGGAAACCGACTGCTTAAACCATTTAAGCAGTCGCTCCACATTCCCACCTCCCCCAGAGCCTAAAAACCTAATCTACATTTTGTCTCTATCAGTTGACTTATTTTGTATCTTTCATATAAATGGAATCATACAACACCCTTTGTGTCTGGCCCCTTTCACTTAGCATAATGTTTTCAAGGTTCATCAATGTTGTCACATATATCAGTACTTTACTCCTTTCTTTGGCTGAATAATGTCATTTTTCTGGATATAGAATTCTTGGTTGACAGTTTTTTTCTTCTTTCAGCATTTCGAATATGTCTTCCCATTGCCTTCTGGCCTCATTGGTTTCTGATGAAATGTAAGCTATTAATCTTATTAAGGATCACTTGTACCTGATGAGACATTTCTCTCTTGCTGCTTTCAAGATTCTCTCTTTGTCTTTCAACAGGTTGATGATTATGATTAAGTGTGGATCTTTTTCAGTCTATCCTACTTGAAATTCTTTGAACTTCTGGATATGTAGCCTAACACTTTCATCAAATTTTGGAGTTTTCAGCCATTACTTCTTCAAATATTCTGTCTGTCTTTTTCCATTCTTCTCCTTCTGACACTCACATTATGCATATGTTGATATGCTTGATGGTGTCCTTCAAGTCTCTGAATCTCTGTTAATTTTTCTTTTTTTTTTCCTGTTCCTCAGGTGGGATAATCTCACTGGACCTATGTTCAATTTTTTCTGATTCTGTCTTCTGCCTGATCAAACCTGCTAGTGAACTCAAGTAAAATTTATTTCAGTTATTGTACTTTACAACTCCAGAATTTCTATATGGTTTCTTTTTATAATTTCTCTTTATTGATATTCTCTATTTGGTGACATTGTTCTCATACTTTCTTTAGTTCTTTAGATAAGATTTCCTTTAAGACCCTGAGCAGTTCCATCGCCACTGCAGGCCTAGTAACCACCACACCCTGGGAGGAACCACAGCTATTGCAGCTGGCCCCAGTCACCATAACAGTAACTACAAGCAGCAAGGTGGAGACCTAACAGCTGCCTGCCGCCCCCACCCTCAGCACTGCCGAAACCAAGGCCAGCACTATGGGCAGCCACACAGGGAGCAGTGGTCTGGGAGATATCACATCAGCACACCTGCCACCAGGGACAAAAAGTTCATCACAAGGAAGGTTTGTGGAACAGTAAAATGGTTCAGTGTAAGAAACGGATATGGTTTCATCAACAGGAATGACACTAAGGAACATGTTGGAACTTTTCAAAGCTCTTAAAGACATCTCATTACTTAATTTTTCCTTTTTAAGACTTGGTTAGTGTAAGGACAGAAAAAGGCCTCTGTTTTTCGTTGCTGTGGCCTTCCACAATTTATGAGAAACACCTGGTAATTAAACCCCAAGACTGTTGGCCCCTCTGTTCAAACTGTGGGACAAGATAAGCTATTCTCAAGGTTGCATTCTTGCATCCCCTATTCTCTGCTGTTTTCACAACTCAGGGATCATTTAAACCAAGGACTCTCTAGTTAGTAGAAAGTTCCCTTCCCCCCATCCCCTTCAAACAAGCCTCTTTTTTTTTTTTTTAAATATGCCCTTATTGATTTCAGAGAGAGTAAAGGGGAGAGAGAGAGAGAGAGAAACATCAGTGATGAAAGAGAGTCACCAATCAGCCACCTCCTGCATGTCTCCTTCGGGGGATAGAGCCCTAACCTGGAATCCAACCACCATCTCCTAGATTATAGGTCAATGGTCAACCACTGAGCCACACTGGCCGGGCCAAACAAACCTCTTTTGAATTCTTCATAACTTTTATTCTAAGCTTGTTTCACAGGGTCGGGGAAAAATACTGATAAGACACCTCCTTAGGACATTTGCTGGACTATCTCCTGGAAAGCAAACAAACTGTAACTTTTCAAGACAAACCCCTTGGTATCTGTTCAGTTTCAACACAATCCTCCTCCCTTCCTTGGTGCTTAGCAACAGCAACTGCTTAAAAGTGCAAGCCACTCTTTGTTCCCTGCCCTGTATTGACCAGCAATACACTGGCCCTTTCCTCCCTTGGAAAGTAAAATAAATTTCCTCTCCACATCTTTTCTCTTAGTTGTGAATTCTTTCACAGCCCACTTCACTGGCCAAACCCTAACAGGCTATTATTTGCCCCAACTGTTATTCATTGCCTCAGGCGGCTGTTTGGGGAGAGGCCTTTAGCCTGGAGCAATTTTAAGTGATGTCAATTTCAGGTAAGCCTCGCAAGTGAGGTCCTCTAGGGAACCACTAGGCAGGTCAAATACTGACTCTTCCTTGGGAATGAGGTTTTTAAGAGGTCCCACTCTGTTCTTCTCTCTCCAGTATCAGGAACGTAAGCTGTTATTTTTCAAGGCTAGTTGGAGAGTGGGGAATGTGACTAGGGTAAGTTAAAATTCCTCAGAGCTCACTGATCTTCACTGAATTCAGCCATTTTGCTTGACTGTATGCTTCCTGATTGACCAAGAGCTCTTGGTTGATTTCCAGACTTCTAAAAATGTTGATTCTGACAAATTTTGCTCTTTTTTCCATTGCTTTTATGGAAGGGCAAATTTTACTCTGCTATTTTT